TGCCGGGCGACCTGGGGGGGGGGGGGGGCGCACTAGGCGCCTGAACGGCAGGCGTCATTGCCTAAACTTACAGAGTACACAGTAGCTTAACTGTGACTAACTGCTGTTAATATCTGTTATATAGCAATAGGTCTGCCCGGTGTTGGTACCTTGTCAACGCGGGCCATAGTGCCCAGTGGTGTCACATTGTACTGATCTCTGTTACCAACTGGTAGAGCTTCGCATTTGACAAACCTGCTCGATTGATTTCAAACCTTGCCTGCATCTGTCGTTTCCGGGGCCTCTCAGAGATCTCGTGTTGATCCAAGTGCACGGGGTCTAACACTCTAGATCAGTGGTCTCCAACCTTTTTACACCCAAGATCACTTTTTAAGTCTCAGAACAGGCAACGATCTACTGCCCCGCCCCTTCCTTGAAGCCCCGCCTACATTACATGAGGCAATCTAATGTAAATGCACTGCACAGGTGCGCAGTTCAGAGAGGGCTCAAGAGCTACTCTTGGAGCCCCTGAGATCTACCGGTAGATCGCGATCTACTGGTTGGTGACCACGGCTCTAGATAAAGGGAGTACCGATTGTTACGCATACAGCCGAGAGTTTAACAACGGAGTAGAGGTCCTGTCAGGTGCGCGCCAGGACAACCCTGACCAGACGACGCTGACACTGACAGTCCAGACCACCGAAGGTACCAGGGTACGAGAACACCGAGGTACGACACTCAACCACCTGTTCTTCTGGCTCAATTTGCTCCCCAGTGCCCAGATGTCTTCCTTGGGTGTGTGTTCTACCCAACACATTGTGGGGCTAGCTATCTACAGCTCCCCCCCACAATCCACAGGAAGAGGCAGGTCCTCTGGGCCAGTGACTGGCAGATTGCAGACGGTGAAACTGAAGTTCCGTGCCCCAGTTTCAGACAGTCTTGTGGCCACAGGAAAGAAAAAAAGTCAGGAGGCGACACACACGGTCAGACAACGGGGTTGTGACTGCCCCCCACCAAGCTGCAATCTTAGCTCTGCTCAGATGAGCCCCCACTATGAGACACCAGATCCCCTGGCTTGCTCTGTGACCATTGTGCACGGTGGGAAGAGGCCAACAGAGCTGCCGGGCCGTGGACAAGATATGGGAGGGGGGGGGCCACACCTCCATGCTTCAAGAAGAGGCGGAGCCTCAAGCCAAAGGGGCAGGCCTGTGGGCAGCCAGCCTCTGCAGTGTACTACGTTTGCACCCCCATCCCACCCCGTAGGGACTCGCTGTGCAGCGCTCCAGCAGCAATTTAAAGGGCTTGGAGCTCCAGCTGCCGCTGCCCCTAGGAGCCCCCGGCCCTTTTGTTGAATTGCCAGGTCCCGGAGTAACTGCCCCCTTTGCCCCACCGCAATCAGCGGGCCTGACCATGCAGCTCTCATGGTGCAGAGACTATGGCAGCTGGTTACCTCCACCCGGCTAAGAGTTTCCCAGTTGTCTGGGGTAGGGGGGAAGAGGAACGGCGGCCCGTCTGGTGCAGAACCACTGTAAGCAGCATCTCCACCACTGTCCCTGCAACCTTTCTACCGGGGGTTTGGGTGGATCATGCTGAAGTCTCTGTCCCCAGCTGGCCGCTTGGAATTTTGACTTCAATGTCATCAGTCCTGATGTAAGTAAGTGGAGAAGCCAGCTCGCTACTCCGTTACATGCGTCACGGATAAAGGAGTTCTCTCAATTCTCCTAATCTGCACCGCAACGTAACAAGGACGGGACGCTCTGCGTGTCAGCCCTGGCGACCGTTGTAGGGCCACGGCAGGGCATAGCTCACGTTGTTCAGAGAACACCCCTAAAGCGTCAAAAGTCTTTGGACGCATCGTTCCAACACGGAAGACGGGTGTTGGCCTGTGAGTGGTTTGGTTTACACGCAACAGCATTGCACGGTAAGAAAGCGGGGCAGTCACCCCTCGGCTTTTCAGCATGGCGCACAATTTCCTGTGCAAGGCCTGTCTCAGATTCCATGGCCTTGAAGGAAAAGTACAGTCGCCTAACTCAGACGCACTCGAGTCTTCCTGCAGGTTTACTTTACGCCTGTGGGAAGATTTAACCAGGAGTTTCCACCACCCCCCTCCATCTACCTCTGCTGGCTTGGTCGGGTACCCTGAGCCGAAAGACACCTCAGCAGAGATTTTCACAGGATTTATTGTACCAGCAGGGATCTTGCAGGATAAAGAGCTGGAGCAAGTCCGATGTTATATTTAGAGTTTTCCACAACAGCTGTACAGTTAGTTATGTTTTAGTCTAGAAAAAGAAGCCTCACTAGTTAGCTCTTCTGCCAAATCACCCGGATGCAAAGGCTCAGGAACAGATTACAGAACTCTGTGAAACAGCACAAGATGTCATTCCCTGTCATGCTGGTTTCCATAAGAAAAGTTGGGTGTCCCAGACTTCAGACCTTTACTTTTTTCCCCCCCCCAATACCAGAAATTTGCATAGGAACTACTAAATTATAACCCTGTACAGCCTAGGCCTGATCCAAAGTCCGTTGAACTAAATGGGAGTCTTTCCATGGATTCCAACTGGTTTTGGATCAAGTCCTTAGAGAAATGGTGTTTAATTTAGCTCTTAGGGGTCACCCTTGTTTTCTGTTCTGTGTTCTATTCTCCTATTTGCCAGAGATTTGCTATGCAACCGGGGCAAGGCATGGGGTTCTCCAAAGCCCATTCCCCACCAGAAACAAACAAGAGCCCTATTGCTTAGGGGCTGAGAGATGGGGGCTACATCTACACCTCCAGGGATTTGATGGTCTAGATATACTGGCAGAGGTACCCTGACAAACCCTGTTAGCAGTGGGTACACCCCTGAAAGTAGGGCTACTCAACTATGGAAACCTTGGGGGCCACAATGATACTTATAACACATGCCCGGGGCCACAACTTAAGTGTGGTTGCATGTACATGCAAATATATATGCAAATATATTCAAATAGCTTCTTTCACACTGACGGGCATGAATACAAAGCACTTCCCACCCTGCTCTGGACCCTCCTCTCTGGGGGCTAGAAATGCCGATACCCTGCACCCATCTGTTCTGGCCAGTCTGTCCACTTGTGCCTTTCAATGCTCATCCCTCCTGGGAGACGCCTTGCCATTGTGGAGCGTGTTCCCACAAGCAGGCCGCGTGCTGAGCCCCGCGTAAGCCGAAACCGCCCCGTGGGCCGCAAACAAACAGGCCACAGGCCATGCATTGAGTAGCCTTGCCAGGGAATCTTAAGCCAGTTTCCTGAATAGAGCAAGGCCTAGTCTTCACTTATCTACACTGCTCTCTCTCACACCCTGACTTAATTTTCTAGTGTAAACGAGGCCCAAAAGGCACCAGCAAAAGGGTGTTTTTGCCCGTATTACGTTGTCTGCACAAGGGTTTTTGCCAGCGGGGATGGAGAGACACACAAAGGGGCTCCCCTGACGGACACGGCTGTGCCAGCAAACCTGTTACATGCTGTTCAGGTGTAGGGGTGGATCCACGGCGTTCAGCACTGACTGACTCCCACTGAAGCCAGAGCCAGTTGACAGCAGCACGAGCCGAGTTTAGGTGAAGGCTGAGCGCATTTGAAAACCCCTCCCTTAATGTTTGTGGGGACAAGCACTTCAGATGTAAAATCGGTGGGTCTGTGCCATTTCCGTTAGAAGCTTGGCTTCTAGGGATTCTCCTCTTGATTGTCCCCACGTGTGTGTTTGTGTGTGTGTGTCAGTCACACATGACAGCTGGCACACACACAGGCAGTGGCTGCCTTTTCTTCCTTTGCCCTCCTAAACCCAAACACCAGAACGCAGGAGTCGGTCTACCACTCTTCGCTCTAGTGCCTCAGGAGCATAGAATCATTCATGCCTTTTCTCCTCAGCTCCTCCTCATTCATGCTCATCCTCAGCATCTGATTTAAGGCAGAGCATTTCAGGGGCAATTAGGAATGTCCCTACCAGCAAAAGAGCAGAGAAAGGCAAAGTGAGGGCATGGACACAGGGTCTCCACACACAACTCGCCTCACGGAGGATCCCAAGATCTTGATGCATCTCCAAGGGATCTGCTGGATCTGACATGGACCACTGCCTTTTTCTGGGAGGAGCCAATGCACGCTGCCAACACAATGGAAGAATCCCTCAGCTATTCAACTAATTGAAGTTCACATGCATCTCCTATTGCTCCTTATTTATGCAGGCATACGTCAAATGGCGGGGAGGGGGGAGAAAGGAAGCATGGGA